CCTGCGCATTTGAAGGTCTGGAGCCAGAGCACCGCCGCGTTCACTGCCAGCTTCACCAGGGCCACGATGGCTGTCAGTAATTTCAGGATTAGGAACTCTGTGTTGAAAGCTTGTTCTCTTCCACTTATTGATGTGAGTTCGCTGCTCCAGGCTGTGACAGATGGATTCATGCTCAGGAACCCTCCACTGGTGCCACTGGAACAGAAACAAGACTTGAGCACCTGGTGCATGATCAGTGAGTCTCATGGCCACCCTGCTACCTGGGAATTACTGTCTGTGTTACAGAGATTATACGAAAGGCATCACCACCTTGGAGTCCTGGAACCTGGATTCAAACCCAGTTCTCTCTCACTCTAGAGTCGGGGGTCTCTCTACGCAACATGGGCATTTATCTGACATGGGAATATTCTGTAGTCCAAATACCTCCACTCATAGTCGGAGACCATGTCATGTTTTCTGGAAGCAGGAGGAGCATAGTCTGGACACAGTGGGATGACAGCAGGACTCGGAGCTCACCATTGCTTCTGCCCTGAGGCTGAGATTTCCTTTCAAGGGCTCAAAGTTGAAAGTCCCAGCCATGACCTCTGGGTTTTCTCAGTGACTGAGAATGTCCATCCTCCAGAAAGAAGATCGTCATTTTGGGTTCTTTATGATAAGATAAATGGAATACACTCTCTTGCTATGAGGGGTATGAGTATGACCCATCCTCTTGTGTTGGAAATGGCTGAGTGTGTCATCTCTATGAGGACAGGAAGTACTTTTCTCCTGAACAGTGGTGTGTCTAGTGGGACACAGTTTAATTCATTCTTATAATGGATTTCTTCCTAAAGCAGCCAAAATAATAAATATAAAATACTTATCATTAGCAGTGTACTCCCACTTTAAAAAGCACACACCAAACAAACTACATTTTATTATCAAGGCATTTATGATGATAGCGAGAGATTATTCCAAAAAGTGACACCCAATAGGTGCACAGAGTCAAACAAACAAACTGAGGAGATACAATGAGAAGTTGATCTTATTGATCTCAAACATACGAAGAGAGAGAGAGTGAGAGAGAACAGGAAATCCAACTATTGGGAGATGATAAGAAGAGATGGGTTTCTTCATTTGACATCAAATTGATTTCCAGCTTTTTTACCCTCCTCTGCATCCTGGGAGACAGGTCCCTGTTCCTCACCACTGAACCCCTTTCCCTCAGTCTCTTGATTGCTTTCAGGAAGGAGAGACACTGGCAGTTGGTTGGAGAGCAGGAGGAGGGCAGGTTTGAATTCCCTGGCTCTCTGATGTCAGGCTGGGAGTTGGCCATGATGGTGTTACTCTCCCTAAGGACATGGCCCCTGTCTGGTTGCCTTTCTTATGGTCAAAATGACAACCACCAATACAGCCACAGCCCGTGCTGTATTCTGGTCACTTATCTTTCCCTTTACCCTTCAGCAGTAGCTCCCAATTATGACTTATCTTTCGGGGTCTCTCCATCTTCATCAATTTCCCTTACACCTGCTCACCCCTTTGTACACAGTCCCTTTATTAAACTCTCTTCAATTATTCATTAGTTTGTGCCATGTGTTTTATGCTAGAAAAAGAAACATATAAAGATAACAAACAAACAAACAAATACATGGAACAGTAAGCTAATGTGTGCAAGCTGAGGTTATTAACAACAATTCATGTTTGAAAACAATGTCTGTGAAGCAGAAAGAACCTGGGTCCCTCACAGCCTAAGCTACCAGCACCCAAAGCTTCCCTGAGGGAGTTTCATGTCTCTGGACTCTCCTTCATGGGTGCCCATGGATCCTTGCACACTCCACCCCAAGATGCAGTCATGACCATGTGGACTAAGAGGTAGAAAACAAAACTGCTTTTGAGAGAAGGTAGTTCTGAGCCAACTCTTACCTGAGCACCATCTTCCAGTTGAAGGTGGGGAGTAGAAAAAGAGGAGCTTTCCAGGGAGTGCTGAGCACCAGAGAATGCTCTCCTACCCCTGGATAGGAGGTGTCTGCAGGAGCAGGAGTAGAACCTGATCACCAAGAGAGGCTTATCAAGATGCTGGGCAACCCTGTGACTTCCTGCACAAGGGGCACTGGCAAATGAGATTCTGTAGATGTGAGACAAGGGCCTCACGAGATGCTTCTTATTTGCCCTGACTGCAATGACTTATCTGTTCCTCTCTCCATCTTACCCCATGTGGTCCCCCTCCAGTGAGGAATGTTTGAACTGGAGCCTGTCACTGTCCACTGTGGGCGTGTGCAGGCATCCCACCCAACAGGCAATGTCAGCTTGCATAGCTAAATAATAGTTTGCTTGGCATTCAGGGTTTTGCATGGCCTGGATCATCTGATCTATTTCTATGTACTCCCGGGAGTAATGAATGAACCTGAGTTTATTTCAGAGGACACAAGAGTATACAAAATAAAAATGTAAAGTCTCTCCTCATCTCAATCACCAAGAGAAACCGATGTTTACAGTTCCCATTTTAACTCTTTTACAAGTTATATTATAG